CATGAGATTTTGCGACATGGAACCGCCCAAAACGTCTCCAACGTCTTCCACCCCAACAACGCATCCCCAAACGAGCCAAATCAGAACGAGCTCACAGCCGTGCGTGCCTTCCACAAGTGTAGAGCCACATCATTGGAACGTCTCGCCTCCTGGTCACAGATCGTCTGTGCCTTGTTGTAGTAGCCCTCCCCTCAGAGCCGGTCTCGCTCCGGTCTTTTCGCCGCGAGACGACGTTTGCATGGGTGAAGTCGAAGTCTGGTGTGTCCGTGGGCGAGAAAGTCCATGGAGACGCCCCCCCCGTGGCCCAGTGGCGGTCCAGGGTCTTTCTTCTTAGGGGGATTGAACTAGGTCCGATCAAAGTAATACATTTCAAGTGTGTGTGTAGTGGGTCACATCAACTATAATATGTATACATGTGTATAATTCATTTATATGTAGTAGTGGGTCAACAGGATTCTCGGTGGCCCACATTAGGTTGGATCATGTTGGATCCAAGCTTTGACAATTCTCAGCAGGTAGTGATGGCATGATGAGTTTAGGGCTTGTCCTTCTCATCCAGCCGTGCCTGGTATCTCACCACAGGCCACCCATTGAAAAGATGAAGGATTGGATGATGTACAGGATTCAAACCAAACACATCTCTAGTATCTTGCAACTCGCAGTGACTCTGCTAAGGGGGTACATTCAATTGTAAAACCCTTACAAGGCCAACTCACTCCCTGCTGTTGAAGCACGGGCATAGTACTGTGCCAGCACCTGACACACACCGAACAAAAACTCCATCTTTGAGAAAGGGGAGCTTGGAACAAGCCGAGGAAGACAGTTGGGAGTGAAGGCGCTGGGAAGAATCAAACCAGCACCTGTTCCTGAATGATGGTTTAGACCCTTCACAAAATATTCGTCAACTGTGCAAAGTGAACATCGAGCAAATGAAAGCACTAACCAGGTTCTCAATCTGTCTCGGCCTGCGCTTGGGTAGTCATGGCGGCCTTTGCAAACCACGACTACCTGGACTCGTGCCTGTGTTGATAACTTGTGGCTGGTTGCTGTGGCTTCTGGACTCATCTCGGACGTCCCGTCCAACATCATAGCTGTTTTCTGCTTGTTAACATCATTAGCGTTGCTAACTGCTCCAAGCATGCAAATCTGTCACCTACTGTATCTCCCTGAGATTTCTTGAATATCTCATCTAAGCTTTACGACCTCACTTTATTTGAGGCTTGAGCCGAAACCATCGGGTTTGTCACAGACTCACGGTCTGAGCACAGACTCATAGACTCACGGCCAGCGTTTGAAGAAACCGGTCGAGGATAACATCGAAATTGCGAAGAAACCAGGGGTACATCAAATCAATGGCTTGAATGCATTCTCCGGCTGCAGCGTTCTGCCAATCAAGAAAAAAAGGAATCTAGTTATTCAGAAAGTTCCTGCACCGCGGTGCGGTAGCGCGGCTAGCCGCGCGGCGCGGTCGCGTCGCGCGGTGCGGCTGCGCCTATGACTTTCAGGAGAAACATCACTTGTGGCCGGCCTGGGTGTTATGACTTGAAAGAACGGAACATCTAAGAGACATTCATAACTACTCACCAGGTTTCAGTGAATTATTGAGGAACCCAAGGATTTTCATGGGGACACCCAACCACCCCGAACATCTTTAGCTTGTTTGGAGGTGTGGTGAGGCCTTCGATGGATTCCAAATGGCCCTCTCCAGGGCTTGAACATCGGATTCTCACTGCTCGTTGAAACAGAAAGCAATGTCCAGACAGCTGCAGGTAGCATGTTGTCCCGATTTCTGGTCCTTGTTTTTTTTTCCGGATTTCTTGCTCCAAAATCGAAGGTTTCTCGATGTTCACTGTTTGCCTTCTTGATAGACCGGTCAGAACCATGATGTCCCACCTGGAAAAAAGAGTGAACTCAGACTACAAAGGTCAATGAATTGGCAGTGCCCACGACCATCCTATATTCCCATATTCCGTGGTATGAGGATTTCCTATATTCCCATTGTTGGACTTGGTCATATTCTCCTCTATGCTCAACAGAGGGACGAGCATCCGAAGACCAAACTGGTGGTGGTGCTTTTCCACGTCACCACCATGAGGATCTCAGGCAGGTGTAGACGTTCAAAAGCACAAGACGAAGAGTACCGGGCACGAACCTCTCTCTGACTCCGTCAAAAACCGTGAACCATTGCTTTAAGGGTCTTCAGACTTCACCAAAGAACCATTGTTTACCTAGCAGTCGTTTTTTACACCACCAGGTCACCCACTTTTGTAGTGGTCTTTGAAAGCTAGGGTATTTATAGGCCGCTTTCATGCCCCGAAAGCTTATGGCCCCCAACTGCCAAGAAGCCCGGAACGGTCGACTCGCACTGCGTGCTGCGTAACATGAGCTCGGTTGCCTGTGCGACCGCGACCCAAACGATGTGTGGTTTGCAGGTGGATGCTGCTGCTGATCATGGGGTTCGAAGGTTACGGAGAGAGAGTTCTGGATATGTTTTTTGTTTTATGTTGTTTTTTTTGCCACACTTTTTTGACATATGCACCTTCAAGAGTTCTCTTGATTTATAAGCTAAATGTGTTAGCTCCGGTTTGTGTTTGCTCCTTCCGTCGCAGGGCAATGGTCGAATCATTCCAACTGCGACACCTATTGGGCCACCGTGACACCTTTGGGCCACCGACACGAAGAACTCACTCTTCACGTCCATCCCACCGAAAAATCTTCTCGCCGCAGGCGAAGCGCCGGCCTCGTCGTATGTGACGCACTCCTTCTCCGCTCTTGCCTCGCGAGTGCAACGAAGCTCGAGCAGCAGGTTTCTTTCAGCCCCTACGAGTGGCAACAAGCACAATCCCCGAAAGGTGGCTTACATCATGGACCCCTGCATAAAAGACAGCTTGGGGGGTTGTGCCATCTACTCTGAAACCACTGTATTTCACTGTATTTTCCAAGAGTGGCCGAGTGGCCACGGATTGGATGGTTAGCAATGTTGGAGCCAATTCTTAGAACCGACCGTGGATCTATGTACTCCAAGAAACCCCAAAGCTGGAGGTGGAAGTTCCTTTCCCCCAACCTAGGAGTCGTTTCGGAAGCTACCATGAACTGTTGCTGAGGCCATCCCCAACAACAGGATGTAGAAGTGAATCTTAACAATGCTGAAGCCAAGTAAGCCATCCAAAAGGATTACTCGGATTTAGGATGATGTAGGATCTTCCACAGCACCCAGATTGTCCGTTCTTCCAAGAACGGGATGGTTTCTATGAGTCAACTGCGGTAGTCATACCCCTTTTGAGGGCTAGTAAAAGTAAATCAGTAGCTTGAATATAAATGGATCTAGCACCAAAACCAGACAGTGATCCAATTCCCAATTCCTTGACTCTGTTTCATCCAACAGCCAGCCTCCTTGACTTAATCTGCGCTTCAGTTGAAACATGGTCTGGGTCCTTGACTCCCCCAAAACACCGCAAAAAAAGTATGCCACGACGCGCTGCACGCGACAAACCATCCCACGAGGCACCTCCAGGAGCGCACGCAGCTGGACGACTGAAGGATTGGACCTCGACAAAGGCGTGGATGTTGAAGCCAGTGGGAACTGAAATCATCCAACTGTTCTACTGGAAGGATTGAAACCACCATGATTGTAAATAGATACACCAGTTCTACATCCACTAGATGGTAGATGTCAAAGAAACCACCAACTACCAACTGTTGAAGCCAGTGGATTGTATCTGGATGCTGAAGAAGCTAAAGAGATCTAGTTAAGCACCTGAAAACTGCAGCACTCTGGCAAACTCTTCAGGAACACCGGCAGCCTTTTTGGCAGCTAAGGTGCGGTGTTGGTAAGCTCTCTTCTCCTGGCGGGGAAGTCTTCGGATCATCTCCTGCGCAAGAGTCCACCCTAGCCGCCAGCGCACGTGTCCGTGTAGTCCGTGTTGAGCTCCCCCAGACAGCACCAGACGGCACCGGAAAGTTCGGAGAAACATCTCATCGAACGTTCTTCGAGAATTGCGAAGGTTCCACGACTGTTCATGTGCCGTTGTGTGGCAATCTTCACTGGGGTTTAAAGGCTGCCTGCTATCTTGACCCTTGTCGTCACGATTTATTCGCCCTTTTTTCATCTTTGAAGCTGGTTCCGAGCCATGAGGAAGCTTGTGAAGCAAATGGGTGACACCTGGAGAAGCCTGTTGGAGGGATCATTTTGATCAATCGGGGCAAAGGCACTAGTCGGGCACCAGTCGGATACCCATGTTGAAGGGTTGAGGTGCTCCATAGGCAGTTTCAGACCAACGCTTTGACAGCTGTGGAAGTCCAACTAACTGGACTAGTCCAAAACAACTGTTTAAGTTATATGACTTTAAGTTACTGCAGGCAAATACTTCTTGCGTTTCTTAACCACTCCAGCACACCACTACTTCAGCACCCCAGCAATCGGTGTCCTGCGGGAGCATCATCAGGCATCGCCAAAAAGGAATGGGCCGAGCCGTGCGGCCGAGGTGGGCCGAGGGACTGGATGTTGGTCAGTGAGTGACTGGACTGGAGGACTGGGTCGGAGTGGGTCGGAGTGGGTGATGTTCAGAATGTCTCAGGTCTCAAAAGATGTGGTGCTTCAGAAGGTCAAGCACTGGCAACTTGACCGACGCATTGCGGTCTGTGGGTGGTTATCTGAATTGGTGAAACGCATGGCTGATTAGCTGCATTTATCATGAGCTGTGCCAAAATCTGTTTGGGGACAGTGCAGGCATAGACAAAAGTGAGATCCACTTCATTCTCATGTGCGCTGGAGCCACAGTCTTCAGAGTCAGCAATAACAAAAACACTCAAATCTGAGCGAAGCTCGTGAGAATGTCCTGGATTGCCCTCCTCTTTGGAATAACTATACTAGAACTTTATATGTCTTAGACATGAATCCTGCTTATATCACTTACATTGCCGGTGCATTCAACAAATCTCTTGGCGCAACCGGCCACCGGTCCCCAACTCCCCCCCCGATCCCAGCCGATCCGGGGCACCCTCTGCCAAACGACCACGTCCCCCGCCGCCGTGAGGCCCCAGACCTCGGCCGCTGCCAGGCGCGCAATCGATGTGACGACCTTTTCACCACATCGATTGCGCAATCGGATGATGCGACTCTTTTTAAACCAACGCATGATGAATCTGGATGCGTTCAGAGCGAAAAGGGGGCAACTCTGGATGCGAACTGCCCGATGTCTGTACAAGCACAGCGAATAGTGGGCAACTCTGGATGCGAACTGCCCATGACGCCCCATGACGCAAAAATCCAAGGTCAGTGATTCCCACAATTCCCAGCCAAAACAAAAATCTTCAGTATGAACAATCTTGATTCTGAATGTTATCTTCGTCGTGGTTCAACAAAGCTCTATACATTTGGAATTATTTGGATATTGAGTATATTATCCCATTACCATGGCCCAGTGGATGATGATGCTCTCATTTGGTAAAGGCCGTGGGAATTTCTTGCCGGCGGCTGGACTGGTAATGGGACACACCCTAGCTCTATATTCGTAGGGTTGTGAGAATGTTGTGGGATAGACTAACTCTCTCAGGAGACCACGCAGGTGTCATTCACTTCCGGGCAGCCACCAAGCCGTAGAACACGGCATACTGCGCAAGCAGTGGCACGCTGTCAGAGTGGAAACCAACTTCAGAGGCATAGCCATGCGCCATGAGCATCGCATTGATCCACTGACCAATGTGATCCGAGTCGTACTCCCAAGAGCGTTGGTCCATCAGTGCTCGCCATATGAAGTCAAACGCAGGTCCATCCGTGATGCGCGGCTGTCGGGCATGCAGAATGAAGCTGCGGCCTCCATTGAAGGCTTCAAGCCACGTGGGATCAGGAGTGCTGGAAGGAAGTGCTTCAGATGTCCTTGGTTGAGCATTCTCCTCATACGGAAGCCGTTTGGGACAAAAGGATTACGGACGGAAACACAGCAGAAACATGCTTCTGCAGAATCAATCAGCTCAGTGTCCAATTGCTGCTGCAAGACACATCAGCCACCTTCTGTCCTGCCACATTGCGGTAGAGGAATTGACGACTTGCCACATCGAATCGCCACTGTTCTCCCACCCAAGTTGCCTCTGGCGATTGGCAGTTGTTTCCATCCTCATCACAAACGCCCACAAAGTCAAGGCTTTGGAGCTTGCCCCGATGGTCAAAGCACGTCACAGTGGCCGGGCCTTTGTATTCCACACAAAACTCCTCGGCAATGTCACCGTCGGTATTTTCGGGACAAATGATGGGATCACCCCTGGCGGAGAAGGACCAAGAGGTACGACGCCGCTCCGCTTCAGCCCTCTCTTGTGCCTCTCGTTGCTGGCGTTCTGCTTCATCCCGGCGTCGCCGGGCCTCTCTTAACTCCTCCTCCAGCTTCTCGCTCTCCCGCCTCTTTTCCTGGCTCCTCTGCTCCTGCTTCTTGACATCCTCGAGCTCCTTCTCTGTCTTTGCGATCTCGGACTTGACGGCCTCCTCGCGTAGTTTCGCATTTTTGCGGAGCTCTTCCAAACGCTTCTGGCTCTCTTCCTGAGCTTCCTCATGTTCCTTTTCCCAGTCCAGGAGCTTGCTGAACTCCCTCAACTGTTGGACAAATCCTTGCACAGCTTGTTGAAACTGACCTGGGAGAGTCAAATGCCCACCGCCAAGTAAAGATTCCCGACTCATACCAAGTCTGCTCACGTGTTCGGGGATAGCCAGCGCGAAACCCGTTTTAGCCCCACCAACCAAGTGATTCAGGTCCGCTCGTAGCTGCTCTTGGCTCCTGACAGTGCACTTGAACAACCAGAAAATTCTCGCGACGAGTGGGATCACTTGGCATAACAACCTGGTGAAGTGAGACCCCGCCCTTTCCCAGCGAAACATTGTAATTACTACCCTAGAAGTCGAAGCACCATTTACTTAATAGCCTTTTCCACTCCACACACACAATGATTGTCTTGCGGTTTTGCAATGTTTTACACTACGAAACCAAGATCAACCAATTTAAAATATTTTAAACATGGTCTTGGACCTCCAGGGATTGAATTAGTCCAAGGCTCACACGAGGATTGTTGCCATACAATGGCTCGTAGAAGTCAATGAAGTTCCCCGGGAGCTTCGTGCCAAACTCATGGGAGTTCGCCAATGCAACCACTGCGAGCCACACCCAGTTCCTCAGGTCAGGCATCTCTGGAGGAGACAGCATGAGACAGCAAGCAACTGTTCCAGCTGAGCATGATGTTTCTCGAAACGAATCATATAATTGAATGAAAAAGCTCCAGAAAACTACTCCAAATCTACCGTTTGCATGGCCCAAACTTATATAACTATAGGACCAGGCTCGAGACTCCACAACAAATCACAAACCAAGCAAATTCAAAAGCTGCCATCTTTCGCCAAGATTCATGCTTGCGGACAGCAACTGAGAATCGCGATTGCTTGAGCCAGGGATTGCTTGAGCCGACAACTGGACCATCCAGAGGTGAAACAGGAAACCCTCCCATGTCATGACAGAAGTCCCAAAGCTGATGGTGAAGAGAGGCCAACAGAAACATGTTTAAGTCTGCCATACCTTCATCGTGATATGCAAAATCTGAATCAGCATTTGATCCTTTAGACCGCTGTAGACACTCAGCGTGTTGCTTGGGCAATAGCTTTGGACACCCCTTCTTCGACCGATGTCGGTCCGCCCGGTCGGGTGGCCCGGACCGAGGACTCCGAGCATTGCACATCTCGGAACCTGTCGGACACCCAGGTCGCAGGCGGCGTTTGGAACCCAAATAACACATGGATCTAACATGATCTAAAGAAAACAGGAACAGGTCTAAAAGGAAGAACATCCTTTCAAATTTCGCACATAATTACTGGATTGAGCCTTAGGGCTCCCGCATGCATGATTCCAAGGATATATATATATATATGAAAACACAAAGGAAAACTGGTCCGGGAAAAAAGACTCGGGGTGTTTAAAAACATGAGAAGGCTCGGCGGCTCAACCGCTGGAAGAATGACTCTAGGATGGACCGGAGTCCTTTTTGGGGTGGGGCCTCGCACCCCAAACCCACAAAAGCTACTGTGAGTTTACATCCAGGCAGCTCCTTCGCTTCAATATTTGGGGTCAACCAGTGTCCCAGTCCCAGGCTACATGGACCTACACAAAAACAAATAAAATCACAATACAGTCCCAAAATGGGCGAATCATGGCGAATCTTTCTATTTTGCACTCGCATCGTTTTGCCGGGTTTGGGAAATGTGCAACATCTCCCTATGATTGCTTTCTACACTCTTGGTAACATGACTCTCAACCTGCAAATTCATCCCAAAGACCCAAAGACCTTTGCAACACTTAAGCTCACAACTCAGCAATTCTCACTGCAAAGCTGCTGCCTTAAGGTTTCACTATCAAAAAAAGGCAATATTGTATTGTTCTGTTCTAAATATTTTCTCAAGTTTGGGGGCATGGTTTGACCTTCAAAGAGCAAAGAACGAATGAACCTATCACTGCTGATATCACTTAATTGATCATGTTCTAGCCTTATTGTTTTCTCAAGTTCTAAAGCAATTCTAGAACATGAAGACCTGCCATTCTTTAAACATATTTACGCTCTCCTTCATTTTTGTACAATCTCAGCTCATGATGGTTATCCAGCAAACCAAACATGCTGGCCCCTCCTCATCTCCCCATCACCAACGCTCCCTCCCCTTCTTTCCTGGTCCGAAGGGTTCACTCGCAACATGTGTTGGCGAAGCTGATGATCTACTTCAATCACCTATGCGCCCTCCAAAAAAAACATGATCAGTGTTTAAAAACGGCCTCTTAGTGGAGGAAGACCGCCTTCGAATGGGGCCATGTGTCTAATGTTCTTTGGTTTGCCCGGCTTGCCCCTTTCTTTTCTTGGTGTACCAAACACCGATCGATCCTCCGATCCTTCGAAGAGGATCGATCGTTGGATCGTTCCCAAAGCTCCGAACCTCAACTCTGTCTCATCCTTGAGGAACAAAGGGCGAGGAGGAGCATATTGCCTCATGCTCAGGGAAGCTGATTGATGGGTCTGATGGGTCTCTCTGGCTCTCTGATGGCCTGAGACGAAAATGACTCGCTTTTACTACGTAGCTGGTGAGTGCTTCATGTTTCAAGGGGTGAGTGCTTCATGTTTCATGAACTCCTGGGCATGTCAAGCAGCTGCATCTGGGGCATGTCCTAAGCTTGCAACCGGTTCTTGCCATCCTTCCTCAACGTCGAGCCCCACCTGCTTGGAGCGTCCAGCTCCAAGACCAAGCGCTGGTCAGAGCGGTTCGGCGGTCGGTGCAGTGGGTGTTTTGGCAGCAGAATGCTCGCGCAATCTCGTCACTGGGCTGCTGGCAGAAAGATTTCCTGAGCTGGACCGGTGCTGACATATATAGACAATATATATATAGACATCCGCTTGTTCGTATGGTCCTAGACTTCTCTGGCATTCTATGCTGGTCACTCCTCTCCTATGACTTGCAGGCCGATTTCAGGTGTTGCTGGCAAAACAAGCTAAACCTATAGCCTAACGCCGTCATTCTTTGCCGTCAGCATCCTATCGTTTCCTGCACCTCCATGCCGCAGAACTCCCTTCTCGCCGAGCGTCGCCGGTGTCGGTGCGGGAGGCCCCGAAGCTCGGGCCGAAGCTCAGCTGTTGCCACTTGCAGTTGTTCCTCAGAACGCCATGCTCGGTGGGCGGGGAAGCCATGGTCGGTGGGTGCAGAACGTCATGCTCGGTGGCTTGGTGGTGGCGGGTCCCAAAAAGGTGGGTCGGTCCATCCAGAAGAAAGGTTCTGAGACCATGCCAGGTGTTGGTTTAAAAGGACTGACTAAAGGATGTTAAAAAACATACCAACGTAGCAGATTTGATTTAGAACCTCGATCTATGTACGTAGATGCAGATGTTTTTCATCAAAACTGGCGTGGTTGGTTGGCAGCTCCAGCTTATGAGGCATTAAAGATCATGGTACTGATCACGCTCCACAGATATCACGCTGGGCTACCCCCATGACGAAGACAACTCACTCAGATGGGCACTGCTCAGCATATTGTCTGAACCAGGCCGCCTAGGCGCCGTTGGACGGGCGCAACTTGGGCTGTCTTTAGACCATGAAGACAACTGGCTAACGCCTCGCCCCTCGTTTCAAAGCACCTCATAGCAAGAGAACAGCGACCATAACTTTCTGGGAGAGGGCCACTTCAAAAGAGTTTGCCGGTCCCAAAGAAGCCTCCGAAAAGGGTCAGTCACGGTACGTCATTTCGTCCCAGAATTGGTTCCAAGAGGGTTATACGGGAACATCTACGGGAAATCCATCTATGAAATCCATATGTTCTTGCATTATAACATTATAACTTGCACTATATATTATATATATTATATATAGCTTCGTTTTGGGGGATGAAAACCCATGGGTTTCCGGTACGATCTTCCCGAAGGAATGCCCTGCCCTCGGACGCTCGGCTCGTCCACCTCGGTGGGCGCGTGGATGCCGGTCTCCGGCGCGCGCGCCGCCTCGGCGGCCTCGGCCAGGGGTGGTTTTTGGGGCGGCAGTCCTATGGCAGTCCCATTTGAGTCGTGTCTGGGAGGCCGCCTTGTTTCCGAAAATTAAGACCAGGCCCTGTTTTTGTTCAGATGGTCCGAAGACCAGGCCAGGGGTGGAGAACTGATTCGTCCATGATTTTCAGGGAGTGGATGAAGTGGTAGGACTGGGTATACGAAGTCATGACAAGCTTGTGAGAAGAGCATCCTACCACAATAAATAGAGTTTTGCAATAGATCAAAAAGCTCTCGATGGATGCTTTGAGCATGGCTGGATGCATGGCTTTCCCAACAGGTTCTCCCTTCTAGGTGTCTCCATATATCCTTCCTCTCACAGATCCTTCGCTTTCCGATCCCTCGGGCGACTCACACCTCGCAGACCGGCCAACATGCATGATGTCCCCAAACCTCAGGCGATCCAGGTTTTGCGCCCCTCGTCGTTGGAAGACCATTGCAACCCTTCGGTCTCCAAGAAAAACGGATGGTCTTCGTGCTATAGACAGGTGCAAGACCACGCAGACCATCGTGGAGCTTCGGTGTGTCGGTGTAGTCTTTCTTTTTGGAATGCGAACATCTGATCTGGTTTTGTTGGGCTGAAGCCGCTCGGAGTCTCAAGAGTGGCCTTTGGGATCTGTCATGATCTGAAGTCGTTCTTCCTCTTTCGACTGATCTGATCTGTCCGAAGAGGATCACGTTTCCTCTTTCTACCCGTTCTGTCAGATCACTCGAACTGACTCGCTCCACTCACGGTGCGGTACGCGCGCGCGTCAGCCGAAGGGACGAAGACCTGAGCCCCACTGGCGAAGGGCTCCGGTTGGCACTTGTTCCATGAGTGCGCCTCAATTCGGACACGGAATTCGTGTCGGAGTGAGTCCATTGAGATCATGATGTTGGTCTGTAATTCAAAGTTCATTGATTCAATAAATATTCCATATGACAAGATGATAGAAAAGTTTGTGTTTTTGTTTGCGATACGGGGCTCCATTTCTGGTGCCAATGCATGCAACATGTGCATGTTTGGCTTCCACGGCTGTTTGAATCCGCAACCGATCCGCCACCACCGTTTTTGGCGCGGATCGGAACGGATTGGAGTGAGGCCTAAAGACCACCGGACGACCAGATCGGAGGGTTCACCAGCGTTTTGCAGCTCTTGAACCCGTTCTGCAGCCAAGTCTGAGTTGCTGGCAGAGAAGTCTTCCTCCTCTTCCTGAGATCGGACATGGAGTTCATGGGTCAGCAAATGGTTCTTTCTTTTTCAGCTACAAGCGATACCTATTCCAAGAAGCCGGGATGAGCAAAAATCCTCCACTGGCATCGCCTATGCCACCTGAAATCCCAGTTCCTTCCGGTTTTGAGTCCCATCCAGAGTGGAAAATACATGCGCACCCCCATTTTGGCACCCTCGGAACTTGTTCAGATGGACTCCCACACTGCGAGGATTTCTGACCCACATGACCGTCAAAGTCTCGACCCGACGTGGCGACGTGCCTCATCTTCCTCCTCGTCCAGCAGTAAGTGTCCCTTGCTCAAAAAGAAGGACACTCCTCGCACCAGCTACTGCAAACGTCTGTCATTCTGCCGATTCTGTTTTGATATGGGGGACAACGGGTTATGCCACTAAATCACTAAATCGTGAGTGTCTTTCACAGAAAAAGACAAACACTGATGCCTCCTGCACCCAGAGGAAAGAATGCTTTTCCATGTACCTGACTGGTGCTGCGGGCATTGCTTGAAAAAGAGGCAATCCGGCAATCTACTAAATATGCTGGACACCAGGCATCATGTGAATGAAAGCTTTCTTGCAGCCCTGAGTTCCCCTCAGCATTGGTCGAAGCGATGCCGGTCATGCTAGACCACCACTTCTGCATATCATGCTGAGTGTAAATCCAACTCATTTGCCTTGTCGGAAGGCAAAGTTCTCTAAGTCTTCACCCGAATCTGAACCAAAAAACACCTTCCAGGGAGCCCGACTTTCCCACGTGGAGCAGCTCGGCAGAGCTGACCTCGGCAGAGCTGCCCGAGCTCGGCCGCCCAGTCCGATCAACGTCAGCTGACTCCCCTGCTCCACCGTGTTCCGCTTGGCTGAGTCCCGGGACGCTTGAGCAAGTGTCGACAGCACCTCCGCACACGAAAATGGCGCGTCGCTGGCGTTTCGCGTGGTCGGCGACCGCGGTGGAAGTGAGCTTTTTGCGACGGGCGCTTGCGGCCGCTTGCGTTTTGGGCATGTGGAGGAGCTTCAGCTACTTAAAACGTGTTGATGGGATCTCGGACATCTCACGAACATCTCATTTTCTACCAAGCTATATCAGCAGTTCACTAGCCTGCTAGAGCAAACCTCATCTGCCCGTTTCATCTTAAACCAGCTAGTGAGTGTCCTCCAAGAGACGGAACACCATCGCAACCCAGCAGGGTGTTCCACGTTCCCGTACAAAGCTTAACACATGAACTAAAATCCTTACCCCTAGGGCTCCAAGTACCTTCGTTTCGAAGGCGTTTGGGGTGGGTTTAGAAGGGTCCAAATACCTTCTGAGGAGGTACTTGGAGCCCTAGGGTACATGTTACAAACCGGGAAGGTGCTTGCGCACCATTTCCATCCATTTCCTGTCTCTTGATGTCTCTTTGCAACTATAGATTAGATTGATATGTTGTCCGTATCTCAAATGATATCTATCCATTTGAGGTTGGGTGACCCATGTAAGATCCCAAATTTGGGGTCCTCCTTTTGAGTCACATCGCCATCAATGGCCATGTCCCGTCCCCGAAGGTCCCAGGGCAGCTCGCCTCAAGGGTTGAAGCGTCCTCGCCCACACCATGGGGTGCTGCGGACAGACTCACAGCGGAGGATGGGGATGTTCAAGCTTAGTGGATTGGGGGTCTGTCGGCTTGGGGGCTGGTAGGCTGGATGGCTGGATGGTTGGTGCAAACGAAGATTTCGCTAGATCGGTTTGGGTAATAACATCGGTTTCGTGCCAGTGCGGCGTTCGTTTCGTGCAGTTGCGCATCGTTTGTTGCATGGTCCGGCGGCATAGTACTGAGTCAGGAGTCATTCTTTTCCATGCATCCAGCGGATTTCACGTGTCTTCTCCGGATCAGAACACTGCACGAATGAAAGCTGCTCGCTTCTTTTATGTCTTTCATAATCCATGTGCAGTTCAACTAAACCTACCCTCCAAGTGTCACAGCAGCGGAGGAAACACAGCAGAGCTCAGCTCATTGCAATTGGATTTGTGTCAGAAATTCATTCCACTCTTCTGTCTTCTTCTCTTCATAAGTTCATGGATGCAATCAAGTGCTTGGCTAGGAAGGCCTGCTACCCAGTAGACAAGCCTCAAAGCTGTAGTGGCCGCTCAGTGGTCACTTGCATGTCAAAACCACCCGTCGCGAGTCGCGGGTTTTGAGGGCTGCGACAACATTGTTGGTTCATTCACCACACCTGCTCAGCGCCTCAAAGTCCTCACAAATGACTGATTCGTTGGTTTCTGGGTTCAGGTGTCTGAGCCTTTTTTCTTCCAGCTGACTGTTGCAGCTTCTGCGAGAAACCAATCAATCATGTACTAAATAGACGTGCCGATCAGGCCATAAGGAACGAGCTTGCCTCAAGGACGCACCGAACCACGACCATGGAGTTACAGTCAAGGGCAAGGGTCACAGAAAGCAGAAAAAAACACCTGGATTCCATCCTGCACCAACTAACTAACTGATCCAATGTTCCACTCCTAATGTTCAAATACTCCTGGTTCCATCCGATCCTGATCCTATATGTTCCAAACCACCTCGGCTCCCACAACCAAAACACCACCTCCACCTTCTCCCTAGCGACCCCCCCCAAAACACCGCTCCGATCCCCGGGCGCCGGGGATGAGAATCGCTCCGGCCGCTGCCAGCGCCAGCGCCGCGGCCGCCGCGGCGGTTGGCGAGGCCCACGGTTCGTCGTCGAAGTCTTCGCGCGGCGGTAGGGGCGACTCCCTGGTGGCGAGTGGAGTGGAGGAGACACGAGAATGGTGGAAAGCATGGGTTGAAGCAGGTCGAAAGATGTTCTGAAAAGCCATCTGAGATGGATGTTGACGAGAAAAAGCGGAGGAGGAGGAGGAAGCACAGGAATAACAACATGATGATGATTATTATTTTGATGAGGAGGAGGAAATGACCGTGACTCCGAGAATGAAGGAGATCATCGAAGAAGAACCATAACTGTAACTGTAGACTCTTGATAAACTATATAAACTATCCCAATTTGGATTGAACAACCTCTTCATGTGGGGGTATTCATTGAACAACGTCTACAATTCACTAACCAGTTCGAACGATCTCCATTCGACGCTTCGACTCGCCTCGACGCCAGGAATCTCGCCGCCCAGCCAAAGAGCGCGGAGGAGCACACCGTGGCATTGGCATTGGGACCGAGCCGTCCTACGGCACCCAGGAGCAACAAGACTCCGGTACACAACCTGGGCGAAACCAGGAGACGGGTTGGACTGATGGAGCTGGCTTCTCTAGTCATGCCATAGAAGGCGTAGAAGATCTCTGGATTAAAACATCTCACAGCTTTGAGCAGTGAAAAGAGTCTCATTCTCCTCTAACTGCTGTTTTGGCTCCGCCCGATTGGAACGGTATTGATTTGGAACCTCCGGTGATCTTCCAATCGGACGGTAACTGGTGGGTTCACCAAATCCGGATCCCAGGCCATGGCGGCCATCGTCTGGTTTCATGTCTTCATTCTTTTTGAATGGCTATAGTTGTGCCGATCAATTGGTGAGAGGGGGCATGGTGCACAAGACACATCTATTGAACTATTGGATGCATGGATAGCACGGAGATCCCAAATCGCTTATAGATGTCATCGCATGGTAAGACCCAGAAATTCACCTGCAACTATTAAGACCATCGCGTGGTCAAGCGGTATGGATGCTAGCATTTGGTTGCACCATCTTGCACCCATTTCTGTACCAGTGGAGTCATGAATCAGAAAAACAACGGCAATGTGCTTCCACAATAAGGCTGGCATCGCATGTACTTAATTTAATCTTATTACACCCCTTAACTGTACTGCACTTCACATGGACTGATTGACATCGAGCGGAACGTGAGCGATGGCGGTGCATGCTCGATATGAATCACAGCAAGCTGCTCGATGAATTGCAGCGGACGAGGTCCAAACAGGAACCTCCCCGGCGCAAAAGAGACCGCGGTGACGAAGAATTGGGGTCGAAGAATTCCCCGAGAGTCTGAGGCCATCCCAAAGAAACCCCATTTGTGGTCCAATGATATCCATACTTGGGAATGATAGAGAGGGATCGTTGACATGTCAGGTACCACCTACTGGTTGTACACAACAAGGGATATCCCATCAATAATTCAATAGTAAAAGGACAACTATGATGTGATCCGGTGTAGTGACACGTTCTTTTCCCGGATCCAGTCGTACCTTCTCAGGTACGGTGAGGACGGAGACTATATCTATATATAGGCGCCAGGAGGGCCCAGTCGTACCTAAGCTGAGGTTCGGTACGACTGGATCCGGTCTCGACGAGCGGTTCCGAGGAAGCCACCGGGACCTCGCTGCGAAGAGGATTCGATCCCATTGACATCCGATCCCATCCAGGTACTAAGGCTGAAGTTCACCTCTGAAGTTCAAGCCGCTTTTGAACGTCGTTTCCAGTCCCTTCTTCTTTGGTATAATGGTGGAACGGAAGCCTCTGGAACGGCATGTTCTCCAATCATCACAATGAATCTGCAGGCTTCACCGGGTTTGCCTCGAGAGCGCCCATGACTGGCCTGTTCTTGTTTTCCCCAGTTCCGAACCGATCGACCGATCTCGACCGCTGGCATGATGCCTCGCCAGGAGGTGCCCGTCACAGCCGCGCAAGGGCAGAAGTTGCACGGCTTGGGAAGTGAGAGCCAGGCTGCCGCTGAGCAAGAGGGGGTCGACCCTCAGTGTTTTGCGAGCAGAAAGTCGGACTAAAATGTAGGTGGATGGTCCCCGATTTTCGCCTTCAAGCTATCGCGTTTCTTTTTCTTGTGACACTATAGAACATAAACATATTGACGTCCGTACATTTCGCGGCATCATTGGTTTGTTTCACCTATTATGTCTTACTCTTTTTTGTTTCTGGTCAAGGGACGTGACCTTCGCAGGAGCACTGGCTGCAGCTTCCCCACTGCTCAAGCTCAGGACGGTTCGAACCGCATCGTCGGGGAAGGAATCGCCCAAAGCTTGTGCCAACAGCAGCGGCAGCCGCGTCACCTGGAAACGCTGGACATGTCATTGTTGTGATCGTCGAAAACCGCGCGAATCGCTTCGTCCGCAGGGAAGGTTCAAGAGAAGAAGCGATTAGGAAGCGATCAGTAAAGGATCAAGATCCCTGACAGATGTCCAAAGGAAAGAAACATCACAAAACATTTCATGAACTATAAGAGTTGGATCCGTTTTGATTGAAGAATGTATGCACTGGATTGCCACGGATTCAGGAAGAACCTCAAGTCCCATGCTTGGAGCCCTCTCCTCACACCCCGCTTCATCTTCCGAACTGACTCCAGCACCAAGTCCGCGACCAAAGAATGGGATCGATGGTATTTCAAGTAAAGGTTGAACATCGAAATATCCAACACAAATATCTAGAAAAGACCGCAGTGTTCTGCACCGATTTCACCACACCAACCAACTCACCGACCCTTCCCCGCACCCAGCACCCGAACCCTCGTCGGAGGCGCGGCGCCTCGACCAGCAGCAGCCCGTCGGAGGCGTCGCCCCGCAGGACGCCCAGCAGACACAGCGCCAGGGCGCCGCAGAGCCCGGCGTAGGAACCCGCCAGGGTCACGTCGATCTCCGTGCGGCGCGAGGGCGCCAAGCTGCGGAGATGAGATGAGGGGGTGTGAGGGCGATGTGGATGATCAGGGGTTCGGTGGATCACTTTAAGGGATGGTAAGATCCCTTTAGGGATCAAAAACCTGCGAGGTGGGTGGTAAGATGAGTATATGTCTGAGTGGTGGATGATAAGGGGGTTCGGTGAGGTACTTCTTTTGAGTCTGACAGAAGCGCATGGAATCAAAAGAGTTTGCAAGCAATGTATGACCGCAGGTTTGTTATAATGTGATTCATGCTAGCTGTCATCTTTCTCATGTTGGAGCCGTTACTGCTTCATCACCCCACTACCATCCACTACCTCTTACTTACAGACCTCGTCACTTCCTTCTCAGTCTCAGCTTCCGACCCGGCAAAGCCCCAAGTGCGCCCCAGAGTTCCCAAGCTGGAAGAAGGGATGAAGTATCCTCCACGGATTTTCGCATCGTTCAGTTCAGCCACCTGCCGTCGGACTTGTCGCCCGGGCGACGCGGCGTTGACGCGACGCGTCAAAAGGCGATGCAAATGGGAAGAGACCCGTTCATTGTCCTTTGACCTCCAGTGATTTCGTTGGGGGAGTCAGCCAAGAACGAGTTGTTACATTGTTGCGCTTGGATAAACATTTCTCCTACGTCCAACCGTGTGAGGGGGGTAGTGGATCACCAGTTATTAATCACCCAGACCGAACAACTGCAGCAAGAATGGAGTGACCCCCCCAAGTATCGTCTTTCAGCACAGTCCACAAACTTTCTCCAGACCCAAGTGGGGAGTGACACACCCTGGCTGATCAACACTCTTACTATCTCCACCCAGATCGATGATGTATCGTACACACACTTCGTCCAAAAATGCACAGTCCACAACACCAGGGCCATGCGGACCTCCCACCGCTCCCTCCTGGCGTAACAAACGTCAGATCTCCTACCCCCCCTTACGTGGACAGCGCATCCCACCCGCCCCGATCGCGGACCGCGGACCGCCTGCTTCCGCGCGAAGCCCTGCGCGAAGAGCATGAGGAAGAGCCCCACGCCCACGGGCACCACGCCATCGGCGTCCAGACGCGTCACGGCGACGCCCAGCATTGGACTGTAGGTCACCTCCTGTCACGTCTACGTGGCGCAGGTGGAGTGGAGTGGATGGTTGGCTGCTTGGAGCGGGTTCGAACACTGGTTGACTTGACGTCTTCTTTTGCAGGGGTTTTGGGGCAGTGGACGTGCCAGCCAGATAGAGATGATAGGGGTAGCGGTTTGCCTTGATGGCAATGTATTCCGAAATCCACCTTCAAAGGGTACATGTCACATGAACTGCTCTCCAGCCCTGTCCTCCACAGACTTATTCAGAAGCAGATCACTTCGTTCGCCATTCAACGAACCCACCGCCGCAGCGATGATGTTGCAGAAGGAGGCCGTGGCTGCCAGCGAGGCTCCGATCAGCAGCCGCCTGTGCCCGTCGCGGTGCCCGTCGAAACGTCGACTCCGAAGGGCTGTAGTGGCGACGTCTTGGGAGTTCCCATGGACGTCAAGTGCTTGGGAGGTAGGACCAATAAGTAGATCCTGAATTTGCTTATAGAAAGATCTATGTTTTTCAGGGTCTGTGTGAAGGTCACAGAACGAAAACCATCTACCACGAAAAGCAACGTGTCCGTCATTTCTGAAGAGAACCTCACTTCGTTGAGGTACACATCCTGAGGTCTTCGAGTGCGATAGATTCTCGAAGTCGATATCAACTTGGCACGACAAAGGTGTCATCGGCCAGGATGGTCGGTATCACACAAGACGGACGACAGGAAGAACCGATCAGCCAAGAAGCGACAGCATAGTCAAAACATGGCTCGAGAGAAATCATCCTTTGCACTGGACTCGAACGGTGTTGGAAAACTATGGAGGGGGACCCGGGTATCAAGTCAATAAGTCCTGCTGTTCTTAGTCAACCAGGTGCTTCACCATCCAGATCCTTTCAAGAACAGACTTATATCATCAAACCACATGGTCATTCCAGCATGACCCAACTGGTTTGAAGATCCATTGTCCCGGATTGCATCCAAGAGTGAAAAAGCCCAGGAAGCTCAAGCCATCCTCCTAAACCCACAGAAATCTCGCCACATGAGTTTCATGGTGATCTGTGCGATGTCTGTCTCCGATACATTCCGAAATCCTCTTTAAGTCACATCTCTGGGCTCCAATTTGGCCCTTTCCAGGGGAAAAGGAACATCACCAGGTCAGCTGCCCAGAAGGTCGGCCTGAAATTGTTGGAACTGTCTTCGATTGGCAGGTCTGAAGCCCGAAACACCAGGAGCGCAGCGGAGCACTCCTCCGTCCGTTCGGCTTCTTCCGCTTCTTCCGCACGCACGTCCGGACACGACGTCCAACGAACGGGAGCGAAAAGCTCCAAGGGGGTTTACCATCATTTTCCTTATTGGTGGTACACGACCAGGGAGTATCCCCTCGACTCATCAACAGAACAAATTACTGTATAACAGTAATATGGCAAGAATCTTCTTTGTCTGGTTTCTATTGTGCCTCCGAGTTGGTTCCTAAATTTCAGGAATAGCAGATTCCGTAAGCAAGCGAAACGTGCTTTATGGGACTGACTGACTAGTCGTGTTGACGAACGAGTCCATACCATTCCGGCTTCCCAGCTTTGCGCATTTCTGCGTAGCATCTCACCCACCTCCCTCCAGCTTGGAACCTCTGTGCTTGGAACCCCTCCTTCTGCGCGGAGTCCACCTTGGCCGGGTCAAATTGCCCCTTGGGCCACAGGCTCAGGCCCGGCGCCGGCGGAGGCCGCTCCCGTTGGAGGAGAACCTCGGTACGTCTACGTCGTACACGCCGTGGTCGTTGGTCGGGGGTGCAATGATTGTTTATGGAACCGGATCGACTTGGAGGAAGAAACACGGGGCCTTCCCGAAATCCAGCTCATTCTACGTCGATGTCCTCCAGGTTTCCGCAACACCATTGGTCGAGCGATGGCAACGGCCAGCTCTTCTCAGGCTCCAAATGGAAAGTGATCGAGTCAGCCAAGGAGTTCGCAGCCCAATGGATCCATGCAACGTGCGAACGAAAAGAGTGGGGACATAGCCCTCAATTCCTTCTTCTGTGGGACATGGCCCTTCCGTGGTTTTCGGCGATTACACGTGAGGTCCTGTCCTCCATCACCAGATCACAGAGAGTGTGAAGGAAGATCTTCTCAAGACACTGGATGGATCCAAATAGAAGTCTCCATCCTTAGAAGGGATGGAGACACCTCAGAAATCCATCAGTCTCCCTTCATCCTCCAACTCCATCAGTCTCCCTTCATCAGTCCCCCTTCATCCCTTCTTCATCCTTTTTCACCTCCAACTCCCTAAGACTCCCTTCATCGCCTCGCCTCGCCTCGCTCTTTCCCGGCACCAAGGGACCACATACTTCCCTGCCCCATAGCGTTGGTCCAGCGAGGCCTGTCGCTGCTCCACGAAGGAGCGCGGCGTGCCGCGACCGCCCACGTCACGCCTCAAGGGTTCGAACGTGGCAACGGCCGGAGGAGCAAAGAGGAATACTGAAGATGGCAGGTTTTGGTCTACCTTCCCTTGGGCCAATTCATCGATTTGGTGTTTGTACATGTTTGTACTCTATCTTCGATCCATAACCAATCGTCCAAAAATCTCCCAAACTTCAAGTATATGATGACAGTCATTATGTGGACACAATGATATCAGAGCTTCACCAATTCCCAGGGTTTCCTGCACTGGATGCCGGAAATTCAACGCTTGTATGGTAGATGGCCTTCTTCTCTCGCACCAGATCTGTTAAAACATGTTAAAACCAACATCTCCGCGAATTGGAATCGCTTCCAGGTCTCCCGGATGGGTCTTTCGGCTTCCACGAGTGGAGCAGATGGTTCTGACTGGTGCTGGTGCTGGTCGAGTGCGATCGAGTGGTGGTCAATACGAAGCATTCGACTTGGTCTTTCGTAGAAGCAAGAGATCTGAGCAGCATGACCACGAAAATGATCTGCGCTTCCAAGAAACGGTCTACAAATGCTGGGGTGTTGGAACAGAAACGGCCGGTTGAGTTTCGAAAGTGTTTGTGTTCTTTGCTCGCTTCTTCATTGTAAATGGCGGTACCAATGAAGATTTGATTACCCATGGAGGTGCGCAAGTGATGTGTTGAGTCATTGGGAGCTGCAAGGCTTCAATTTGCATTGCTGCATCACATCGCATCTGGAAACTCAGGGCAGTACCATTCCACATTTTATCAACGTTGCTAAACCAGGACCCTCCAAGGGGTGCCCAATGGAAGCCTATAGCTATTGTGGGGTAGTCCATTGGACACCCCGACAGGAGGGTCCAGGTATAGTTCACCAGTCAACATCTGGCAAAACTCCACAACCACTGACCACCGACCACTCTCTCTGGCGATTCCAAGTCGCGCCAGCAAGCCTCGAACCACCACACAGCGGCCAACATTCAGATCTCGGGCGGAGAGGAGAATACTTGCGGCCCGGTCGATGAACATGTCTGGCGACTTGTTATACCAAGTAGGAAGTGTTCGTCGGCCAATCAATTGACATGAACAATGAAATGGGATAAGTGTTTGTCTTGACGGACGTGTTTTTCGGCCTAATAAACCAATGGACATGATGCGTGCAATGGGAAGAGTCACTTTAGTCCTATACGTGTGGGCGAGAATGTTCACCATCCCTCCGATGGACGAACATGGCCTCCGTATCTTGTCGGGACATTGGAAAGTGGTCAGGACAAGTAAAGAATTCTCTGACGCAACACATGGAGGTACTTCCTCAAATCAATCCACCTTGAACAAATCTTGTTGTGCCCTGGTCGATCCCCATCTCGTCCCACAAAGAACATCTTCTGAGAAAGGACAAATTGTTGTTCAGCCGTCCAGGAAAAAAAACTCTTTCAGTCCACTTCTCCAACTGTGTGGTTCCTCTGGGCATCTTCCCCCCCACCAAAACCACACATGCCAACCATCTCATCTCCGCCTCCAAAATCCACCCCAAATCACTCCAAAACTCATCCGCCAAAAACACAAAAACCAACAACCGACCAACCACCCAGAAAACGACCCGCCACCCAGACAAAAAAAAGGACGACGACGACAACGACCCAGAGGTCTCCCTGACCACTCCATCTCCGTCACCGGGGCACTGCCGGTCACGGTGAAGCCGCTGCCCGGCAGCTCCAGGGCATCGCGCACGTCTCCGGGCGGCGGGAGTTCCCCCCGCGCCTGGCGACGGCGACACGGAGACGGTGATGGTGAGGAGGTAACGGTGTGGAGGGAAGGGAGAGATGAGAAGGAGAGGAGGAATTTCTATGATTCTTTTTGCAAAAAAATGAAGATCTGAAATTGCTTTCAGAGTGACTTCAGAAAGATTCTGTAGGAATTGGATTGGACAGAGTGGAATGGTGTAAGTGGATGATGTTTAAGGATGTTTAAGGGATTTTCGTAGAATGAATTCTTGCAGAAGCTTGCTCTATTGAATCATGTATAATGTATGTGAATTGGATCCATGTCCATCAAATCAGCTCTCAGTCTCCATTTCATCCAACTTGTACAGAAATCAACCACTCCAACCAGCTGCCAGACCGACGCACGTTTTCTGCTCGACCGGTCGGCCGTCCTCCTCGAAGAGCGCCGACAGCAGCGGCAGCGTGCCGGGGCCCAGCGCGTCGCGAAAACGCGCCACGTCCGCCAGCTGCTGAGAATCGATTTCGATCCTCGCGACGGCGAGGAGGAGAGGACGGTGGACGCCGGTGGAGAGCGCAACCGGACATCGGACATCCGCGGAACATGGAAGTTCTGGAGGGTGCAAAGAAAAAATAACGAAGGTGGATAGACAAAAGGTGACAAAAGAACAAGCTGACTGGTATAGTATCGTAATACTTGCATGGATATTATGGATCATTGTTTTTATATTGTTTTTATATAAACCGGTTTTCAGAACACAATATCACATCCAGGATGTGGCAAAGCTTGCTATATCAAACCGAAGGGCGTTGGCAAATCGAGGATCGTGAGAACCTCAGTGCACGATGCAAGATGACCGTCCGTGTCATGCGAAAGCACATTGGATGCGGCTGAAATGAGGCGCCCAAAAACCCACAGGTTTTATCGATTTGGATGGTTAATATGATTCTCTTTTTGAGCCATGGCCACATGAAGATCCGCTAGATCAAAAATGTCAGAAGTGTCCGACCCATTCTTAGACTCGGACCCAAAAGTGAGGTCTTCTTCCAAAACACACACACACACACAAACAATTATTGTATGTCCGGGAAGTTGTCCGGGAGGGGTGTGTTTGTAAATCAGCGTCGGTCCACCCTGCCCATCCCATTCGAACTCCCGGATGTCGAGAATCGGTGGTGTTCATCGTACTTTGTTTCAAAGGGCTCGAGAGACACCGAATGGACATGGAACATGGAAAAATAGCGTGGTTTTTTTTTGCAAAGTTCCTTTGGTACGACACCTCATGACACCTCCACCGGCCCAACGGCCGCCATTCATCCGCTTTCACCGTGGGTGGGCCCCCACCGGTCGGTGCCAAAGACCGCCCAAGGCGCTTTCGGACGTTCGTCGGCTTCCAGGTCTCGGGGTTCAGCAAAGTCCTGCAGGTTTAGCAGGTATTTCACCGTGTTAGAGACTGCAGGCGCTTAAGACAAGCATCAGGATACAGATACTGTACACAAGTATTTATACTTATGAATCTATATTATCTTTTCACAGGACTTTTCATCATGGCAATTACATTATGTTCCAAACCATTTTCACCCCTTTTCGCCCCCACCTTCGGAGCCGTCTCAGGTACCGGCGCTACCGCCGTCTCCGTGGCGGCCGCCGAGGACGCGGCGGCCTCCGTTTCGAGGTTTCGGCGCCGCCGGGCCACCGCTTCTTGTTCCAGCTCCAGGTTCTTGGCCTGGCGCTGGAAGAAGGTGCGGGGTGGCAGAGGCAGAGCGCGAATTTTTTCTGCATGGAATCTGAATAACTATTAGGGCTCGGTGGGTGGTAGTGTTGGGTTCTATTCTAACAGGCAGAAAGGACAACCGGCGACGCTTGCCACTTCAACCAACTGTGCATGCTCTACACCTGAAAAAGCACATTGGACATCCCTGGCCCAATAATTTTATGACAATTGGTCTTCAATCGTCCCTCCTCTATAATACCCAGACCCTCCATGTATGTCATATATGCCTACATTGACCCCTCTGGCACCACCCCAACTGATCGGCATATACGGTAGTCCCATGGAGTGTATGGGATAGACTGAATCCGCGGTCGAACGCCTCCGGACGCGCCTTCAACACCTCGTAGGCCGCTTGCCATTCGGCCGCCGATGCGCTGGAACCCGGTGCGCTGGAAGCGGCGCCGGAAGCGGAGCTCGGTTCCAGTCGCTGGCTTCGCTCGATCTCAATGGCATAGGCTTTTTGCCAAAGCTCTCGGGCTTCTTCCTCTTGATGTAGCCATTGGGTGAAACATGTCTGTAGCCAGCATCAGATATTATATGTCTGACTGACTCATATCCTATGTAAACAATGAAACAAACCGTGTTAATTGAACCACCCATTGCAACACACAGATACACACAACCAGAAAAAGAATCTTCTCCAACTCTGGTCCTCTTCATCTCCTTTTCCTCCTTCCACCGCCAGCACCCAGACCTTTCGCACACCTCGGCCGCACCGCCCTCTTCGCACGGCACCCGAGACACCGGAGACGGCGCCCAGGCACGCGCCGCCGGCGACCCACCGGTGGAGGTCGCGCGCGACCCGTCGCGGGCGCCGCGGGAGGCTCCGCGGTGCGCCGCGCGCGGTCGCGGTCACGGTCGCCGGGGGCGCGAGCAGGTGCTCGGTGGCTGGTGGCGGCATGGGACTGATGTGTCGTGCCGGAGTGAATGGAATGCAGGTAAATGGAGAACGAAATGGAAGTAGGGAAGTAAAGTGCATGTGATTTTGGAGAACAGAACATACACTAAATCATGCATTAGATCTGGTGTTTTTTTTGTTTTGCTATTACAGCAACGTTCAACTGTGTGCATCTGTCTGCTAATGAGGTTGAGTTCTGTGTGCCAGTGAATATGATAAGTGAAAGCTGCAAGAGACAACTCCAACATCGCACCATGTTGAACAACACCAATGAAATTATGAAACACCACCTTGCATTCCAACAATCAAACACCAAAAGTGAATGCAAAGCAAACATGAATGAGCAGAACTATACAGGAGATTCTTTATTCACTTCTTCCGAGTGACTGTATATCTTCTCTCCACAATGAACCTGTGCATCCCTTCTATCCCTTCTTCAGTCGCCGCAACCAGAAACAAACACAGCAGAAGGAGAACAGTCAGCAAATCCAGCAGATCACCCGTGTGGGGACTCAAGCGATTAAGGGCGACTGAGGGTCGGGAACTGAGCCCTCAGAGAAAGACGCTTCGACATGGCAACCTGGGCTGCTCCCACCGGTGCGGCGAAGGCGGTCCGAAGAGTCTGGAACACTGGTAGTTCGCCACGAACGGGTTCGCCAACGGGTAGTGTTTACAAAAAAGACATAGAAGGATCACTTGCTTTCCATCTGTGGATATCGTACATTCAGATTCTTCAGATTCGTTTTATATCGTTTTATTTAATTTTTTTGGTGCATTGTATGGAGGTGATTCCTCCATCAGGTGATTCCATGCTGGGCTTCTTCCGGGAAGGACGCTCCTTTCTGTTCCTCACTCGTTCCTCCTTGGCTTCCCCGCCTTTCGAGTGCAGCAGCTCTTCCATGGTGATGTCCTGGCATGGCCCCCCCGACGGCCACCGAGAAGGAACATGCGAAGCCACCGAGAAAGAAACTGAACACTGTAACTGTATACGCTCGCATTCGTGGCACCGTCCATACACCAATAGCCATTAAGGACCATTTGCGGGAAAAGACAGATCGTGAAAACAACAATCTCTATGATTCTCTATGTCCCTCCAACTTGAGAGGTGAGGTGTTTCTGGTGTTTCTTATAACTTTTTTGTAAAGAAGAAAGTTGTATTGTTATATAAGCCGGCCACCTCCACTTGACCACAGGGTCCGACTTCCTCACACTCCCATGGCAGGCAGAGCCACTTCCAGCGCCTTGCGATTGAGCCACTTCCAGCGGTTTCGGTGCTCTTCCCGCTGGCGCTTGGCTGCGGCCCGTTCCAGGGACCTCAAGCAGCGAAGTGAGAGAACTATCCATGGAGGAAGGAGGTTAGGTGCCCAGGCAGCTACTCCACTCACTGGATGGGACATTGCACCACCACCCCGAGCTCTGTGACGAGTTTCAGCTGGTTTTCTTTCCTTTCTGTAGATCCTTGCAGTGTTCCGACCTGGTCGAGTCTGATTTTGAACAGTACAAGTGCAAAACTACATCCAAGCTACTGCGTCTTTCTGGAGTATGTCAATGGCATGCACCCCCAAAAAGCGGTGCATTTCTTCCGTGAAAATCCATGTTGTTGACCATTGGTCATTGGCTGGTGCCTTCTACTCTGTACCCGCTGTTGTCGTTTTGACTGTTTATCTCCAAATTGCAACATCCGGATAGGGGTTCATCTGAAGTGTGACGCGGAGTTCTGCAAGGAAAACAAAAGCAGGACGGTATAGCCCAGCATAGCCCGGCATAGCTGTCATGTGGCATCAGTCAGTCATGCCATGGCATGAAGACACAACAAACCCATGTCTGATTTTTGTTTGGAGCTGGCATCTGAATCATGCATGATCAAATGGGTACAAAACAAAAGTACCATGTTTACCCTCAATCGTGTACCCTCTTTTTCTTATGATCTTTTGATATTTTTGGGGTACCCCACGGGTTTGATCCATTTTTTGGGGTACACATGAGCTACGGACGGACCGTCGCGGCACGGTCGCCCAACGTACCCTCCGTTTGGTCGGCTCGGTCGATGTCGGTGCAGAAACCACCGGTCGGTCGCTTGGTTTGTGCAGCGTCTGGTAGCGCACTCACACTGTTGCTTGTAGCAGTGGTACAAATGAAGTGGAATCCTAGCAAAACCGGGTTAGACCCATATCGAAGCTGATGGCATGGACCCGACTGAAAAACCATTTTCCTCTACAGACCAGTGGTTTTGAGGTTCCATGATGTTCCATCTTAATCTTTCAGGGTGTAAACCATGGTGTTGAGGGGTGCCATAGCCGCTCCCGACATAGTCTCTGGCCTTGCTTCTGCCTCTGCAGCTCGCTTTTGCCGCAAGGCTTGCTGCGCGGCCTGTGCCTCAACTCGGCTCGGCTCCGCTCGGCTCCGCCATGCACCACTTCGTCCAGGAGAATTGTTTCAAGTTTCCAGGCGTTTTCCAAGGGATGAATTGGCTTCATTGGCCTTGGACCCCCCCCCAGTATCCAACGTCAGGTTCCTGGGACTATTTGGGATGTATCATGACATATCACATAATCCAACGAGTGGATGCCTGTCGTCCGTTGGGACTTGTGTTCAGTACTTCCCGGGGAAGCCCACGTCGGACTCCTCCCAACTTCAGCTCCAGGCGTTCCAGGGTTGAAGCCCGTCCAGGAAGCCGGATGGTTTTCAGAAGGACCGATTTGGCCGTCACCGGGTCCAGAAGGGTCCAGAATCAGTTGACTACTAGTAACAAGTGCCACGCTAGTAGAAACAAGTGCCTTACTAGTAGTAACAGGTGCCTTACTAGTAGTAACAATGTTCGCTACTAGTACTACCAGCATTCCAGGGACGGTCCCAGGGACCAGTTGACCTCAAAAACCGTCCAAGACCAGCAGTTCCATGGAGGGTGCTATCCAAATGGAGGAAGGAGGTGAGGTGCCCAGCTACTCCACATAGGGACTAGGCACCACTGTTTTGTGACTTCTGGGATGTTGGGGGCCCAGTGGATGATGATGCTTCAGCTGCAGACCTTTCCATCTCTAAAATAGTGATCAAACGGTCAACACCGACGGTTGCAGGTTTCCTGGGACACGCCCAACATTGATACACATGGCTGTCACAGGGGTGTCCAATGTCCAACAACTACACCACCCCAACTAATTCACATGGCCGCAGGAGTGTTCCGCAGGATTGCAGGATTCCCACCTCCTGTGCATGTCGGCCGAAAGAGGCTACGGAGTGCCGAGGTCATTCAGGCCGAATGCTTGGGGTGTCCAATAGGCTGCCGAACGGATGTGTGGATTCTGGCGGTGTTCCACTCTTCAATCGCCTCTTCAATGTTCCAGTGTTCGTTTTGTTGACCTTTTTGTTGGCCTCGTCAGATTTTTGGGAGGAAAACCAGGAAAACTCAGTTTTGATTTCTTCCCTTTCGTGAAACTTCCTGCCTCCTTCTGCTTCTCTTGGGCGCTCTCTCTAGCTGCAGCCTGCAAGAAGAGAGACTCGTCTCCTCTCGCTTAAAAGGGAATGGGTTTCATTTGGCTTCACTATAGAGATTCAAAAGAAAACATGTATAAAAACCGAGGAACGCAATGCATCACATTAAAGAAATATGAGTTCACCCCGACCACCACCGAATGGCAACAACATGCAACAACCGTGGCACCGGTTCGCCTTCTGCAGCCCTGCCATGATGCGCACTCCACGACGATGGGACGCGTCCCATCGCCTGGCGTTTTGGGGGGGAGCATTGGATCAGCTTCACTTCGGGTTCCAGAAAGCCAAACACCTTCGTATCAAAGGTGAATGTATAAAGGTTCCTAGAGTTCCTAGAACATGATGCCTTCAAAGGATCTCCAAAATGGTTCAAGGTTTTCCGTGGGAACGGTCGCACCAAAATTGCTTCAGTGAGGAAGCTTTTTCCTCGTGTGGGTCGGCTTCGGGTGGAGAAGCGGATGGTTCCGTAAAGGGGTGCACCCGCCCGGCTCCTCTTTGATGTGTCGTGCTTACTGTAAGCCCAATGCATCATTCCAGTAAACAACTAGGCAGCCTAGGCAGTAATAACAGTACACCCCTCAAGCCACCAGCCTTCCATCTGCGGAAGTCCAACCTTCCGTCCTCCTCCCGAAGTAACGTCGGTCCGACCATGCCGGTGGGACGTCAAGAGGCGCGCCAAGCGCGTCATCAGGCGCTTCTGGGCGACCGCCTGCTCCGCATCCGTTCGGTGACCCCGGTGACCGGTCCGGTCCGTCCCAAAAGGATTGGCCGGAGCGGGTTCTACCACCACCCGTTGCTTAGAGGGTGGCTTGATGTGGTTTGACCATCCGGTTTATGTCCCAAAGGAGTCCAATCACTCATCTCACCCCTTATGGATTCTGACCTTCAGGGCCACGGTGAACTAAGTTGTTCGGCCTTGTGGCTCAGACCAAAAGGGGCCGAGCCCATGGTACGCCCGACGGGGGCCGGTATCTTTAGGCCGCGAACTGAGCCATGGCAAAGCTGAGGGGCTTATCAAGATGCTATAGTTCAAGGTGGCTAGTATCAAACTCGCATGCGACCTCTGAGATCATCAAACCGAGTGATCTTTGAAAATTTGGCTTCTGGCACGACTGGCCAACATTGCCTGTACGAGAGGACTTGATGCAAGAGAAGCCAAATCCATGGGAAGATCATACGGCAGCCTGTTGAGGACAGGCAATTTTTTCGACTTTGGTCGATGCGGAGTTCTAAGGCTTTGATCATGTGGATTGTTCTAGAGTACCTGAAGCAAACATCATTTTGGCCCGTCTACCGAGAAGAGATGGAGGCATGGTTGCCACTACCATACCAAGCATTTCACTTGGATTGGGCGCCATGGACATTGTTTTTTTGCAATAATCTTGGAAGCTTGCGGAATTCCCTCCGGGTGAGGGTGAGGCTCGGATGGGTCACACAGCAGTTTCTATGTTAAACAACTTCTGTGACAAGGGTCTCCTGCAGGATGATTTTGTGATGAAGAACTTTGATCCTGGCCATGTGCAGCTTTTGATCGACAATACCAAATATATATAGACAGGAGTTGCAACATTAGAATATACCTTGAGTCAACTGGCTACTTTTTTCTTGGACCAGACGACCTGTGCCAGCTGCTTTTTGTGTACGCTTACGTTCCGGCCACCATAGCGCGCCAGGTGTACAGCCTATGCGAGTCCTGTTGAGATTTACCTCCTGGAATGATACTACTGTAGGCTTCCCATAGCAGGTGGTTGGATGCCTTTGTCTCGGCACTTGAGCGCAGTCTTTGTTAATTCGAGATTCTAAAATGGGATCTTCAGTGTGACATGCTTGATTTTGCCAATTGAAAAAACCTCTTGGCAACAGATACATTTCGATCTGACAGTACAAGCCTCCAAGTACCCGGGTCTCAGATCGGGCTGCTCGGATCGCGCATCGGATGCGAAGTCGCGTGCGTCCTGCGTTCGGATGCGTGTGGGGTCGGGCGACCGGACCAGGTCTGATATATTGAGACTAATAAGGTCGTCCCATGAAGGTCTCCGATGTAAGGTCGTCCCAATTCGGAGCTTCTCCCCTCCGACCGGCCGTCCCCAACCGCGGCGGCAGCGCGAACGCGGCGCCGGCGGGCGCGGCAGCGCCTGCGCTTCCACCGGGCACGTTCGGGCCGGACGGGAGCTTCGCACGAGACCTGGCGGCGGCGGCTAAGAGGAAAAGAAACCCATCTAATTCCAGAACCTATAGCGAATTGAGATAGACCACACCCCCCATAGATTTGAAGCCAAACTTCCAAGAAGTGTTGGAGATTTGGACTCTGATTGGTTTTTTGGCCAGGGGTTCGAAGGTTCTCGATCTCACACATACGTGATACGGTTCACCCTTTAGGAGGGTGTTCAGCGCAACAGGGGCAGCGGCAAAACGAGACGCAGCTTTCGAGTCACTTGACATCGTCTGCCAGTGGCGATTCTGTTGGTCTATCTAATCCAAGCCATACACTCACCAGAAACCACGAGTAATCCCAGTGGGTCAACGGTCAACGCACCAGTTTAACCAGTTCTTTGGACTTGCTGAGTGATGTTTGCCATGTCTTTTTCGCGGAACTCCGCACGAACTCCACGGGGGCTCTGCAAGCCGGTGCTCCGCCAAACGTTCAAAACCGCACACGGGAACGTGGGAACTTGCTGCCTGCGCGTGCGGCGCTGCGCCTACGAAGCGGACGCACCTGCGCCTGTGTGACATCCGAAAGTGCAAACGCAGTGGAAAGCTGCTGGAAAAAACGGCAGAACTGGCGGCAGATTCCCCACAAGTGCAACCCCAAAAGGTACTAAGTGCAACTAAGTGCAACCCCTAAAGTGCACATCGGCTGATTCCTATCCGTGCTGCAGAAGTCCCCTATAGCAGTTGTGGTTCACCTTTGAAGACCCCACCGTGCTGCAACGGGAGGAGAGTCTTAGGACTCTGACCGCTTCTTGCATCGCGATGCTCCGCTTCTTGCGCAGTTGTGCACGGTCAAAGGCGTGCGCCTCAAGACCAAAAGATCCAAACCCAAACACTCCATGGGACTGCCGTATATGCCGATCAGTTGGGGTGGTTTGGGGGGTCAATGTAGGCATATATGGCATACATGGAGTGTCTGGGAAAGGATGGAGCAAAAGTTGTGACGATGTCCTGATGAAAGCACCCTTTGGAGTGTAGGGATTTTTTTTACAGTATAACTTGGATCCTGTGGTACTCTGTCTCTTTGACCAACACGCTATGTTGCTGACAAGCTGTAGACACAAGAAGTGTATATATATATATATACATTTCTTTCCAAGGTTGACTCTCGTAGCTACGGTGGTCCGCACACAATCCCTTTTCCTCAGTCATCTTGCCAGTATGGTCTTCAACCTGCCATGTCCAGCAGGATAATTGCGTTGGGTTACCTGCATCAGCAGGCCTGACACAATCAGACTCTTGTGGTATCCTTCCGGTCACTCCGGAAACCACTCCCCCCCCTGGGGTACTTAAAAAGTGGTCTGAAAGCGGTCACTCCGCTAGATTGTGCCAGATCGCAGATCCCTGCGCAAGCCCCAGGCTAGCCGGCTAGCCCTTCAAGGGTAAGAGTAACCCCACCGGGGGCCCTTACTCCAGGGTGGGCTGGGTGGGAAAAAGAGAGAACAAACGCTATTTTGGCCAAGTCACTTGAGCCAAAACATTCGTTGGTTCAAACCTATGGCAGTAATGAATACATGTTCACCCAAGCCTGCCAGACCTGAAACATGTTTACATTTCTTTCCAAGGTTGACTCTCGTAGCTACGGTGGTCCGCACACAATCCCTTTTCCTCAGTCATCTTGCCAGTATGGTCTTCAACCTGCCATGTCCAGCAGGATAATTGCGTTGGGTTACCTGCATCAGCAGGCCTGACACAATCAGACTCTTGTGGTATCCTTCCGGTCACTCCGGAAACCACTCCCAATGCACTTCAAATCCTCCCAACGCACTTAGAGAAATTCTACGACTCGGATCACTGCTGGCAGCGGAAGGTGCCAAAGGCAGAGAGGGCAAGAGACGGAAAAAGGGGTGAATCCGTTGGTTCGCCACCACGGATCGGACCAACCTAGTCTTGAAATGGCGTCGGCCCAATTACTCTTAGACGGAATGTATTCCCAATACATCCAGGTACGCAAAGCGTACAGCATGACATGAATCAAACCACACATGCGCTCCAGATCGGGTGACTGGGAACGGCCCCGAATCAGACACATGAGGCTAGCGACGTTGTCGATCAGCCAGATGCCTCGACGACCTCGAAAGGCCTGCGCCCGATATGTGAGGGCATAAATGATCATCACCATCTCCAACTGGGCTATCTGCCTGTCACCAGGCTCCCACAGCTGGTAAACTTCCGGAGAAATGTTGGCGATGAAGGCTTCCCGAACCGGTCCCACCGGATCGTGCCAGACGATTAAAAATCCTCCTGTGCCCTGCTTTGGTTCCTCCAAAGCTGCGTCAGAAGCTACAACAAACCGCAAACATTCGGACGGCCTCACGGGAAGTTCTCGACAGGGTCGATGGCGAAGGATGGAGTGAATCACATCGAAGTTGCGCTGAAGCTCTGGAGTGAGGTCGCGGTTGCGCTCTGTCTGGCGTGCTTTAATGGCTGCCAGACCTGCGCATCCCAACCTTCCGTACATGCCCTGCTCGAGAAAATTGAGCATGCCGTAGAGCTTGGATGCCTGGCCTGAGGACAGGCTGTTGTGTGCCTGTGCCTCGGTAATCATCGCAGCTGTCTTCTGAATCAATCGATCTCGGGCCCAAAACGTCACGAAGCCCCGACTGAGGTTCGTAAAGTTGTGATCAAGGCCCAGGAAGGTACCGGTAGGCTGCATCAACTGTTTCTTCTCCTCGGCAAACGGGGTACCTAAGAGGGTGTTCAACTGACAGAAAGCTTGTTGGCTGGAGCCGAAGCCTGACTGGAGGTCCGTGATGTGGGCGTCATCGAAATAGAGCGACACCAGACTGTATGTAAGCCGTCGGCCCAGTGCTCAATGAGGCGGGAATACCGATTGAACGATGTAACCGCGAGCGGAAGGCCGAAGAGGAGGGATGAATACACCTGAAAGGCGGGTTCCCCCCGCTCAGCGTGCCAGAAGCAGACGATACAGCCGCGGCTCTCTGCCTGACTGATAGGGGAATGCCGATACGCGTTCGGCCAATCTTCCCCTCCTGACTGCCACTCGTCAGCAGTCGTAAGAGTATGCCACTGTTTGTCTGTCAACAGTGAAGCAACCGCCCCCACATGTTGCGCAGGGCGCAACGGCGAGCATAGAACCAACTTGTTCCAATCCGAAGACCTCTCAGACTGGCCTCCTGTATCTCCATTATCAATGATCCGCTTTTTGCCCGAGGATTGGACAATCACACATCGGGGGATGAGGCGGAATGGTTCTCCTCGTAGTTCTCGTAGGAGCTGCGCCTGGGTCAACGGTGCAGAGCAGAAGCCTTGGGCGGCATCATTCAGCGATTGCTCCAGCAGCACGGCATCATGTCTGCCGGGTTTGAGCGAGGCGAGGGTCTTGTAATTGTGGGTTTCCCCGTCGTCGAGCACGTCCTCCATGGTGAGGATACGACCTGGCTGCTCCGGAAAGACCCCGTAGGGTGGTGCCGTACCTACAGCTGGCAGTCCCGCTACCAAGCCGTAAGGGTACGTGATATCCGCCCAGGACGTTAGGGTCACCAAGAGGGCTGTTAGTCCGATGTCCCTGGAACGGGTGACTGCCCGAATCGCTGATGTTTGGAAAGTCCGCAGGTGCTCGCCCACGCTCCTCCATCGCTGCTTCAGCTCCTTCAAGATGCCTAGGCTCTGCTCGCGGAGTCGTGGTAGGTCTTCGGAACGTGATGCATAGAGTTCAGCCACAAACCATAGATCATCGTCCAGAAGGGGCGACTGCTCAGTCGGGATGGGCGCCTGGCTTCGAAGGCAAGCACGCTGAAAGTGGGTGTCCGGGTCCAGCCCAAAACTCAAAAGCGGAGGTAGGGCGGCTTTATGGCTCAAAGCTCCGGCTTGCTGGCCCTCGGCATGACGTTGCCGCTGCCTCAGAGCTGCGCTAGCCAAATGTGGTCCCAGGGGCCCATCTGCCTTGAGATCGTGCTGGTCTCTCCAGCGTGGAAACTCGCAGAACGGTGCCTGATTCAGGAGGTCTTCGATCATCGGGAACTTGAAATCCTGGAACCATGTACCTGGGAAGAGGCGGCGGAAGCACGTGACAACGCCTTCTTGGGTGAATAGGCCCACTCGTGCTGGGATGCTCGCAGCCACTCCGCGGCTGGAGATGACCCCCAACCGCAATGCTCGAGATGCTGTCGAGTGATGCCTCTGGGCTTGCCCGCCTGCCGCTGCCAAGTAACGAGGTGCTTCCGGGGCTGTGGCGTCAAAAAACCAACCCTGCCAGCGCATCGGCTTCGCAAACGTCACTGTCATGTGGGCAATCACAGGCTAAGGTGCAGCCCGCCAGCTCTGGGAGTTCCGCCGCCTTGGATGACATGATGAACTCAACATAGCAAGGAAGCCATTCATCTGCGGTACAATCATGCCCTGGGGTGTACGGAGAGCACCATTTCGACAGGGGCAACTTGTGGCTGTGATGCCCTCGCCCTACGTAGATGCACTTGGCGGGAAGGTGGCCATCCACCAAGAGGTCGACTGCTCGACGCACGCGAGGCACCCGTGCTCGCTCGCGCGGGTCTATTGGTCGCAGGCCCAGCTGGATCGCCAAAGGAGTCATAGCCCAGCTGCGCATAGAGCGGGGGTCATAGTGAAGCCAGTGCTCCCGGCGGCCCACAGCCTCAGTCGGCGGCATCCGAGGGACGCGCAACTTGGCTCGACCAACACGTACTGCCCACCAACTAGTGGACACCGCAATGGCGAAGGCCAGCGGGGCTGTGTACTCAGCTTCCTCATGGCTAGGGAAGACTCGCTGCCCATCCAAGGTGTAGGGCTTCCACTCATCTGGGTCGTGCTGATGATGGCATTGGAGTGGCGGCCACTGGGAGATCTCCTGGATGTTGTGCCTGAGTCTCTGCTGCTTGCGCCGCGCCCCCATGAAGCAACATGCTGCGTAGCAGGTGTCCTGCCAATCGCCGGACGCCAACATCTGCTTCTCACGGGGCAGTTCCCAATGGAGGCTCCTCGCCGGATTCTCCCGCAGTGACACTCCACCACGATCGGCCAATTCCTGGATCTCCTGGAGGACAAAGTCACAGGCCTGGTTGTCCTTGGTCACTCGCCGAAGGTCACTCCCTCGGAGGTGTGGAAGGCCTGTGGGGTGTTCGTCTGACCGCAGGGGTTTCGGAGCGGGTCGGCCGTCCTCGAACTTCCTGGGAATCTCTCGGGCGCGGGACTTGGTGCTACAGTCCAAAGCGGCACAGATACAATCGGCTTGCTGCAACATCTCGTGAAGCTCTTGCTGAAACTCCGGGTGCGCGAGGTCATGTTGAGGGTTGATCAACCAGTCGATGGTGATGCATCTCCAACCGCAAAAGATGAAGGCTCTGGTAAGCGGTGCATTGGGTCCTGACATCAGGTCGGCCATCAGGGGTCCCTCCCCTGATTGCGGCGGATCCTCAACAGACCCTGAAGAGGCTGCCGCTGCCTCTTCAAGGCCCCGTCAGGCCTTCGGGGTGTTGCGGCAAGCTGCTGCCCCATGGTTCGGAGCTCCACACACCCTCTCCTTCTTGGTAACGTGGCCGCAACGA